CCAATAAAAACAGGGGTCATTTCGATCGCTCCCTGCATTCCTTCATGTCTGTGCCTGTCGATTCACCCTTAGAAATTCAAGCAACACCTTTTAGAATTCCACACCATGATCGTAGCGCTAAGGTGATCGCCACTCACCCACTGTTAAACGAACGATTGTCCATGTGCTACAATACGACCGCCTTGTGGAACAAAACCTTACATCTCAAAGTTTACAATCACATCATCATAGTCGATGACGTCATTTGTGGAATGTTGTAGCAAGATCTTTCGCCGATGTGATGTCAACCTACGCGTGACACCACCATTGTACGTCTCAAAATAATAAAATAAGATAAATATGTTGGTATGTATGGTGGTGTACACGAGTGAAACACCACGTGTGCCTGGAGACCGAGTCAAACACCACGTATGTCTATCTCTCTCTCACTCTCTCTATCCTTATAAAATACTAAATATGATAAATAATCCTGTGGATCAACGTGTGTTTGAAGACACACACGCATGACATCACGTTCGCATGGCAACATGAAGTACATCACGTGTGCATGGAAACACACGAAGTACATGACGTGTGCATGGAGACACGAATGACAGTACGCATGTCGACCTACACGAGTGCCCGCACCTCGGTATAATTAATAATAATAATAATCCTATGGATCAACGTAAACGTCTGTTTGTAGTCACGCATGGCACCACGTTTGCATGGAAACACGTAGTACATGACGTGTGCATGTCGACCTACACGAGTGCCAGCACCTCGATATAATTAATAATAATTATAATCCTATGGATCAACGTCAACGTCTGTTTGTAGTCACGCATGGCACCACGTTTGCATGGAAACACGTAGTACATGACGTGTGCATGGAGATACGCGTGACAGTACGCATGTCAACCTACACGAGTGCCAGCACCTCGGTATAATTAATAATAATAATAATAAAAATCCTATGGATCAACGTGTGTTTGTCGTCACGCGTGGCACCATGTTTGCATGGCAACATGCACGAAGTACATCACGTAGGCATATACCTACATCACGTTCATGTCTGTGCCTGCCGATTCACCTTTAGAAATTCAGGCAACACCTTTAGCAGCTTTAAATTCGCCACTCACCGACTTTTAACTTAGACGAACGGCTGTCATAGTGTGCTACAATACACGATAGCCTTGTGGAACGAAACCTTGCACCTCAAAGTTTACAAACACATCACCATACCCGATGACATGATTTGTGAAATGTTGTTGCAAAATCCTTCGCCGATATGACGTCAACCTAGCAACAAAGTGGCAGAGTCGTCGACTGTGTATGATAAGCTCGTCTCAGTGAGCTATCATCTCCACATGCCATCGCCACCCACCCACCAAAACAAAACAAAACAAAGAACCCGACTCCCTTCCCGCCTTCCTCCCTCCCTCCTCCTCCTCCCGCCTCCCCTCTTGGAGGCGCCGAGCCGCCATGTTGGATGGGGAGATGACCCCTCGGAAACGGACGTGCCGCCATCCGGAAACGGAAATGCCGCCCTCTTGGAGGCGCCGGAAACGGATGTGTAGCCATCTTGGATGCGCACGCCACCGGAAACGGATGTGACGCCATCTTGGATACGCATGCAGGACCCATCATGCACTGCGCACACCCAACCGGAGTTGACGTCACAGAGGTCACGTGATCCTCTCGACTTCAGAAGCCAGGAGCGGTCCCAGAGCGCTGCTCACAACTACTGCTGGTGGCGCCAATGCTGGTGCTGTGTTGCAAACTGAAGACGGTCCCGGCGATGACGTGGTGTCAGAATGGGTCCTCGGTGTGGCCTGTGACAGTGGAGGTGTCTGCTCGTCAATCGTCGAAGCACGGTGTCCGCGCTGATGTGCCGCTAGTGTGTCCCCATGGTCTGTCGAGCAGTTTCCGCAGCAGTAACAATCTGTCGATCCTGACGTCGGGTGGTGACCCTTGGTCTTCCACTACGTGGTCGGTCATCTGTAGTGTTGGTGGTCTGGTACCGTTGCTGGAGCCTGTATATGGTCCTTGCGTGGACTTAAAATGCATTGGCTACTTCCCGAGCGGTTTGTCCAGCTTGCAATCGTCAAAGGGCTTCTGTCGCTGATTTCTTGTCAATCTTGGTTTGTGGAAGCAATTCAATAACGAATGAATGTTATCCGCTCTGGGTAGATTTTTATAGGACAAGAAATGGGGGAACGCATGTGCATTTCAATTTGCACGGAACTCACGTGCATCGGGTTACCATGGCCGTTGCCGTGATGCGTTTGGGCGATCGGTCTTATTGTCATCTGCTTTGGGTTTTTTTTATCATCAAATTTCATTTTTCAGGACAAGGTAATGTTAAATTTTAGAAACTTTGACAAAAATTACCCAGATATTTAAATGACAACTTTTCATGCAATATTACTTGGGGTGACGTTTCTTTTGCGGTTCAGTATATTATATCTCACACACTAGACTTCAGCGTTCCCTAAACTATATTCATAATCAACCCCATGAGTCTAATCCGCTTCGGTTCTAAATGGGATATAAGGTCAATGAGAGGTAAATAGCCATGTCACCATCATGAACCTCCCCGTTGGGAGAGGGCACCAAGGAACCTCCAGGCGCCTGCTGCTGATCTAAGAATGCCATAACGCACACTTATATCAAATGCAGTATACAGTATTTCAAGCGTAATATACAGTATGCCACATGCAGTAATATACAGTGTACCGCGAACAGTGTGCGCTGGGCAGTAGCACACATTTCCTCCCCCTCTCCCTCAAGCAAACCCCTTCCTTGGGGAGTAACCAGGTCACAGGTCAGGCGTGCACTGGTCAGCTGTTTCACTGGTGGCAAGTGAGGGGTGCGGGATGCCGGTATACATACACTTGGAGTTATGGGACAGCAACTTGATGCTGTTGTCTTATAAGGCCAAGAGTAAGATCACCAGTACGACCGCTGCACGAGAGGCATGTGGGTTGTGGACGAGATACTACGTACCCAGGTCCCACTGTAGGTCTAGAGATACAAAATGTCCGATTGCAAATTCATTTTTACCACAACACTTGCAAAACGTATTTAGATACATGTATTCAACGATCTGGTCATGCATACACTGAAGTTGACTAAAGTCATGTCTTTATTCAACCATATGAAAAGTCAGAAGGAATGGATGCACAGTCAGAAAGAAATGCGAACATTAGTAACTTGTAGTGTAACCATAGAGTTCTAGATAATTTTTGTCATTAAACTATATATCACATGACTAACCAAGGGTCCGAGTAGTCCTGTGGGTACCCGGGTCCTACTCAGTACCCACACAACCCGGGTACCCGAGTTACCCGTCCCAGCCCTACTATGTAGCATAGCTGCATTACCTCATAAAGAATAGTATATATGAATGTTAGAAAGTGAGTTATATGCGTGTAGACCGGCGCAGCTCGGCAGTTGAGATCTGGCAGCTGAACACGAAATAGCTTGTGAAGCACCCATGCGCAATAAAACGTTGTGGACCCGCAGACGGAGTTGTGTTGTATATTGAAGAAGTATCCCCTTGAACAGCAACCATTTTCTACGGCGGATACTTAAACTAACATTTCTCCTTCATGACAAAAAGTTTCCTGACTTCATATTTATAAACCTGCTGAGTGAGGAAGAGTTTGCTGCACCTGTCAAGACCATCTATGAAGATGTTTCGTTATTTGGCAATGTCATGCAAATTCTGTAACATCTCGATTGGATAAATATGACTATGCAGCGCAATATGATTTGAAACTTGTATATGTATTTTGTGATGCGTAGCATGCAATATATTTTGATTCAATTGGTCTTTTGTAGCTGACCTGGAAACTTAACTTGACAACATACTGATTTTGACGATATTCCATTTAACTGGCCTATAAATTATAATCTACAAAATCATTACAATATTTTAATAGTTTAATAAAGTACTCAGTACTTATTGGACGGTGCTATTTATACATGCTGTAGGTATTCTCAATAGTGACAAATGCAATCACAAATGCCTTTGTCTTTGGGTGTGTTTTTTTTGTTTAGAGATTACATTTGTCGTGCAAATTACCTACAATTACCCCTGAAATGAAGACGCATTACTTTAATTGTAAAACGCAAATAGTTCACTTAAAAGCAGTCTTGAGTTTAAAAGAGTATATTAAATCATCAAGTGCCAATCACACATTGTGTTTCTTCCCAGACTTTATTTTGTCACTGCTTCAAGGAGTCAAAAATTTGTTTTGGACTCACATTTAATTTATTCATGACATCCATCTAGTCACGCATGTAACGAATTTTACCAGAACGACATCATATGTTACAACTTATTTTGGTTCAAATAGTTTTGTGTGACATTTAGACCTATCTTCTGGCTGCGATGGCTACGATTGCCTGACGAAAACGGCATCATATTTATTTTTTTACCTTGTACTGAAATTCATTAAAATAAACTCACATGGTCACTTGCAAGCACAAATAATTGTGAAAAATTTAAACATGTTTACATTAGAAACTAGTCTCTACTCCAATACACTCGCCGACTCTGATTGGGAGGCGCAACAAAACCTATCGCCCGACAGATTAGTGAAGTTTTGCTGAGGTGCCGTTTTAGCCTGCAACCAACGCCGAGGAACATACAATTATCGCCAAAGATGATTATTCCATCAACAAACGTTTCTTATACTGTTTTCTAGTACCACTTAGTATTCTCATCTAAAGTCAAAAACTTTCTTTATTCAAAACAGAAGATGTATTCAAGATTCGAAAACATTGTGCAACCTCCGGTTTCTCCATACCTGTGATGCGCACGTAAAATCGGTGGGTGTAACAGGAAAAACGTCTACATTTGTTCTTGGAATGTTTCCACAAAATGACACGACGAAACTACATCAGGCGGTCCATTACATGGACTCCAATATTTGATCTCACACTCGTTCATTTCCGGTAATCAACTCGTGCCATTCCGGGACATTCGTGACCAACTCGTGCCACTCCGTGACGAGTCTTCTTCAACGTTACCGACTATTCGTGACAAACTCGTGTTATTCCGTTACCGACCATTCATTACCACTCGCCCCTTTCGGTAACCTGCAAGAAGACGGCTAGTCCCGGAATAACACGAGTTGGTCACGAATGTTCTTGTAGTTTACGGAAAGATGAAGTGGTGACGCATATGGGGATTCCCCACGATTCGATTTCGGTAGACATTTTCTCCTGGCTGTGTACTACAGAGGCAACATGCCTTAATTTGGTGGTCAACAGGTTAACTGCACGGGAGTATGATCAGACACACAGAATATGGTGTAAAAAGGATGGTTATTTATGACTCATACAGTGTAAAACACAATCGCATATAAGCCTACTATAGCAACAGACAAACTATGATGTTAAGGCTAATCATTTTATGTTGTCTGCCCCATATCTTGATTATGTCGGCCCTTAAACTGGACCTGCCTTATTGTCCTGCTACTGACAGTTATAAGTGGAAAGAATACGACAGGGAGTGCCAGCAGGAATCCCAAACAAGGAGGTTCCACTGCCAGTACGATGCCAGTAACAACACGATATTCTGGGCATGTGCTGTCCCCTCGGAATGTGGACCAGGTGAGATAAAATTAAAAAAAATTTCACAGGTGTCTGGGTATGTTATACATGTCAATCTATTAATATCTGAAGACATTCCACAGGTATAAGGGTATATGGGGGTTCATATATATATATATATATATATATATATATATATATATATATATATATATATATATATATATTTATATATAAAATAAAGTCCACGTTAGTTCAACATCTTCTTTATATCAGTTTAAGACATAGTACTTTAGCTGTCTCATGACAGCTCTTCAGTGTAACTGACCCAGAAATATACATATATGTAGTCATGGGATCATGTTGTTTAATGGGAAAATTATCTGGAACTCTATGGTTACACTATAAGTGACAAATGTTCACATTTCTTTCTGACTATACACACATTCCTTTTGACTTTATATGTTTGCATAATGATATAACTTCAGTGTATGCATGACCAGATCGGTTTATAAATGTATCTAAGTTTATTTTGACAGCAGTAAAGTCAAACGTTTCCCAATCAGACATCTCTTGAGACCTACGGGTCGGGTAATAGGGGGATGGGTACCCGGGTAGTAAATTTGGACTTGTGAATCTACATGTGAAAATATTGCATGGTGCTTTTTTAACTCTGTGCTTTTCAGCTCAGTGCATACTGCGTGAAATGGGGACAAATTTTCTCAGAAACTACTGACATGACATGAATGAAAGTTTTCATGCTTGTATAAGAGATACTTGTCGAGATTGAGTTCGGAAATTGGTGCCATAAATGATTTTTTTACAGGTATAGAGCCCTTGCTCCATGCTTTTCAACTTATTGCATACTGCGTGAAATGGGGACAAATTTTCTCAGAAAATACTGACATGACATGAAGGAAAGTTTGCATGCTTATATAACTGAGTTTTGGCCCTTGCTCCATGCTTTTCAGTTAAGTGTGTAGTGTCGGCAATGGGGACAAGTTTTTTCAGAAACTACGTATAAACATAGTAGCCCGCATATATCCTTATATATGCCTATCATATAAATTAGAGAGATATATATAAAACCTAGTAAACCCCCCAAGTGTGTGGACCTGGGTTCATCAGTCCTGCACAGACCTCTGCACGAGTACAGCTACATCTGCATGACAAATAAATGAATATATATACATACATACTGTGCAGACCAATCTGATAGCAGCAATATTGCTACCAACAGATACATTATGTTATTGCAGAGTAACTTAAAACATTTCTCAAATATAATAGTAAAACCTTGATTCATTCATACATTATACATTTATACATAACACATTTACATATACCAAAATGTAACGTAGCCACACATATGTTTCACATTCTTACTATCATACTTCACACGATCATACATCAGCTTCACAGTACTTGAAGATTTAGTTTAATAATGGTATATTATGCCTTAACTTCGCTCTTACTGAATTATTTACCTTACGTAAATAATATCACTTGTAATGCATACAGAAACACAACTACTTACCATGATCTACCCAATATTTGCAACATGACAAAACAGCCAAATTATCGACAGCATGAACACTATATCCCTACAATTCCTAGGAATACGTACAAACTATAATATATCAACAAAAGACTAACCCTTCTAACCAAAATTCCATGAATAAATCACAAGACTTGTCCAATTAGTTGTAGACACACAGAGGGAGACTGTGTCAGTACTGTATGTTGTAGGTACCCATGCCCACATAGACACAGAGGGAGACTGTGTCAGTACTGTATGTTGTAGGTACCCATGCCCACATAGACACAGAGGGAGACTGTGTCAGTACTGTATGTTGTAGGTACCCATGCCCACATAGACACAGAGGGAGACTGTGTCAGTACTGTATGTTGTAGGTACCCATGTCCACATAGACACAGAGGGAGGCTGTGTCAGTACTGTATGTTGTAGGTACCCATGCCCACATAGACACAGAGGGAGACTGTGTCAGTACTGTATGTTGTAGGTACCCATGCCCACATAGACACAGAGGGAGACTGTGTCAGTACTGTATGTTGTAGGTACCCATGTCCACATAGACACAGAGGGAGGCTGTGTCAGTACTGTATGTTGTAGGTACCCATGTCCACATAGACACAGAGGGAGACTGTGTCAGTACTGTATGTTGTAGGTACCCATGCCCACATAGACACAGAGGGAGACTGTGTCAGTACTGTATGTTGTAGGTACCCATGCCCACATAGACACAGAGGGAGACTGTGTCAGTACTGTATGTTGTAGGTACCCATGCCCACATAGACACAGAGGGAGACTGTGTCAGTACTGTATGTTGTAGGTACCCATGCCCACATAGACACACAGAGGGAGGCTGTGTCAGTACTGTATGTTGTAGGTACCCATGTCCACATAGACACAGAGGGAGACTGTGTCAGTACTGTATGTTGTAGGTACCCATGCCCACATAGACACAGAGGGAGACTGTGTCAGTACTGTATGTTGTAGGTACCCATGCCCACATAGACACAGAGGGAGACTGTGTCAGTACTGTATGTTGTAGGTACCCATGCCCACATAGACACAGAGGGAGACTGTGTCAGTACTGTATGTTGTAGGTACCCATGCCCACATAGACACACAGAGGGAGGCTGTGTCAGTACTGTATGTTGTAGTAGGTACCCATGCCCACATAGACACAGAGGGAGACTGTGTCAGTACTGTATGTTGTAGGTACCCATGCCCACATAGACACACAGAGGGAGACTGTGTCAGTACTGTATGTTGTAGGTACCCATGCCCACATAGACACAGAGGGAGACTGTGTCAGTACTGTATGTTGTAGGTACCCATGCCCACATAGACACAGAGGGAGACTGTGTCAGTACTGTATGTTGTAGGTACCCATGCCCACATAGACACACAGAGGGAGACTGTGTCAGTACTGTATGTTGTAGGTACCCATGCCCACATAGACACGGAGGGAGACTGTGTCAGTACTGTATGTTGTAGTAGGTACCCATGCCCACATAGACACAGAGGGAGACTGTGTCAGTACTGTATGTTGTAGGTACCCATACCCACATAGACACAGAGGGAGACTGTGTCAGTACTGTATGTTGTAGGAACCCATGTCCACATAGACACAGAGGGAGACTGTGTCAGTACTGTATGTTGTAGGTACCCATGCCCACATAGACACAGAGGGAGACTGTGTCAGTACTGTATGTTGTAGGTACCCATGCCCACATAGACACAGAGAGGGAGGCTGTGTCAGTACTGTATGTTGTGGGTACCCATGTCCACATAGACACAGAGGGAGACTGTGTCAGTACTGTATGTTGTAGGTACGCGTGCCCACATAGACACAGAGGGAGACTGTGTCAGTACTGTATGTTGTAGGTACCCGTGCCCACATAGACACGGAGGGAGACTGTGTCAGTACTGTATGTTGTAGGTACCCGTGCCCACATAGACACACAGAGGGAGACTGTGTCAGTACTGTATGTTGTAGGTACCCATGTCCACATAGACACAGAGGGAGACTGTGTCAGTACTGTATGTTGTAGGTACCCATGTCCACATAGACACAGAGGGAGACTGTGTCAGTACTGTATGTTGTAGGTACGCGTGCCCACATAGACACAGAGGGAGACTGTGTCAGTACTGTATGTTGTAGGTACCCATGTCCACATAGACACAGAGGGAGACTGTGTCAGTACTGTATGTTAAAGGTACCCATGCCCACATAGACACAGAAGGAGACTGTGTCAGTACTGTATGTTGTAGGTACCCATGCCCACATAGACACAGAGGGAGACTGTGTCAGTACTGTATGTTGTAGGTACGCGTGCCCACATAGACACAGAGGGAGACTGTGTCAGTACTGTATGTTGTAGGTACCCATGTCCACATAGACACAGAGGGAGACTGTGTCAGTACTGTATGTTAAAGGTACCCATGCCCACATAGACACAGAAGGAGACTGTGTCAGTACTGTATGTTGTAGGTACCCATGCCCACATAGACACAGAGGGAGACTGTGTCAGTACTGTATGTTGTAGGTACGCGTGCCCACATAGACACAGAGGGAGACTGTGTCAGTACTGTATGTTGTAGGTACCCATGTCCACATAGACACGGAGGGAGACTGTGTCAGTACTGTATGTTGTAGGTACCCATGCCCACATAGACACGGAGGGAGACTGTGTCAGTACTGTATGTTGTAGGTACCCATGTCCACATAGACACACAGAGGGAGACTGTGTCAGTACTGTATGTTGTAGGTACCCATGCCCACATAGACACAGAGGGAGACTGTGTCAGTACTGTATGTTGTAGGTACGCGTGCCCACATAGACACAGAGGGAGACTGTGTCAGTACTGTATGTTGTAGGTACCCATGTCCACATAGACACAGAGGGAGACTGTGTCAGTACTGTATGTTGTGGGTACCCATGTCCACATAGACACACAGAAGGAGACTGTGTCAGTACTGTATGTTGTAGGTACCCATGCCCACATAGACACACAGATGGAGACTGTGTCCTGTGCCTCATGTTCAGATGACTTCTATCAGCAACACGGCAAGATGTCCTTTGAGTACTCTCAGCCCAACTGTGACTACAAGAAACAAACATGTGGTGAAGGGAAGTTTGTGTGTGAGCACTCATCTACCCAGCAGGACTACAAGTGTTCATGTGACCATCAGAAGGGCTATGTGCCAAACAAGTCTACTGATTGCGATTGTTTCACGTTTGACAGCATCTGTGACTGCGGATATGAGCCCTGTGCAGATGGACAACATCTTGCTGCCAGTAAGTACAACATACTCCAACCATGACTATAAATGAACACTATTGTACAAGACATGTACCAGATAGGTTGTCTCAGGAACATGTGCAACTGGTATTCTCTCCTTCAAAGTAATGTGCCAGAAGAACATTTATCATAATTTTGGCCTATGGGTGTACATATGGATGTGAGAAATGTCACCTGTAGAAGGATGCAGGTGTTGAATGACAAACTGGTTGTTGTATGTGATGGACCAAGGGCACTAATCTTCTATATGGATGGGTTTTATATTGAGCTCTGATAACAGAGTTGAAGTTTGAAAAACATAAAAAGGTCAATTGTAAGAAATGTACTATGAATTTCTTTTCCAAAGACAAAATATGTCAATAAAAGTAATTTTACAGGACACTTAGTTACATAGAGATGAACCTGAATTTTGGCATGATATCAACTAGAAAATTTCATTTTGAAGAAATCAGTGAATAAAATGGAACCATTGTATAAAGAAGCTTTTGTGTACTCAAAGGGAGTGAGGTCTCAAGCTGATTTTAGCAGTTTACATCATGGGGGCTTCACACTGTGTACACCTGTGTGGTGAACAAACCAGGGAAATCTGTCAGTCAAGCAACTGCACTTCCACTATATATTATCCCTCTATGAGCTTATCAGCTGGTTACTCATACAAAATAGGATAAATTTTTTTGTTTTTGGTTAATAACAGATTAATTCTTTTGAAAAGTAAGAATGACAATGGATGCCTGAATGTGCTGACTCTATAATCCACCAGCCACCCCGGAGCTTTGTACAACTACTGTTTGTGAAGTATAGATACAGTAGTCTTAGCACCTCAATTGTTCATGCATGTTAGCCCATGTGAGCTTCAGTGTTAATTAAATTTAGGTGAGCCTCAGTGTCAGTTAGACTCAGGTGATATACAATGTTACACTGCTTTTCCTGTATCTGAAATGACAATTGCAGCTTCCCCTTTACCATCTGCTCCGTGTGTGTGTTCCAGATTACAGTTGTGTGGCTGTTGGTGCTACAAGCACTACAAGGTAAGGCAACACCCCATGCTGACCTGGTTCCTACACTCAGGAAACACCCAGAAATATAATCTAATTGGATTAACAACACTGTTTCTACTAAATGTTTCTAAACATACAATGTCTCTCTGTTGGTTTTGAAACCTGCCTTCAGGAGGGTTGTCTCTGGAAAGTGATGTCAATTTGTAGTTAAACCTGTTTTCAGACCCTGAACCCCTTAAAACTTGTAAAATATAAACCAGTGTGAACCTCATCAGCATTCTCTACCAGTTATTCTTGATGTCATTGAAAACATGTCATCATTTTTGTAACCATGCTATATGTCATGTGTAAAGTTGTTTAAAGGACTATCCCCCTGCACTCTGCATGTAAAGACTGACATCAGTATCACTGTTTATTGCAGGAAACCCACCACAGAATCTACATCAGCAGGTGTGTATGTACTTATGGAGGCACTGTTAGCTGCAGTAAGTATCAACCCTACTGGTCCCCCATGAGGATTTGGGGGTAGGAGAGAGCCTCATACACTTGTCATGCTGTCATGAGAGTTTCCATGAGGGGCGGATTGATTGGAAACATTAGCATAATGGGAGTACATGTATTTACAGTTTGAACTTCAATTCCCATTTCCTGCCCTTATGCTTAAGTGACAATTTGGCTGAAATATTGCCAATGTGACATTAATAATTAACTCACTTCCCAGCGTTTAATTTGGAGATTTTACACCATCAAGTAAGTGGAAGCTTTGCTTAAAAATGAAGATGTTATTTGTACTCTCTGGCAACCTTAAGGTTAATAGAATTTTTAGATGAATATTTTGTAAATTATGACAAAAGATCCAAATTGTGATTATTTGTGAGTCAGACACTGTGAAGATTGTGAAGTAATCCTGGTTCTCTCCCATCAGCTCCTGGTGCCCACGATTCCTCGCTGATACTTAAAATTGTGCTGCCAATCGTCATTACAGTTGCTGTGATTGGTAAGAGGCAGAAACTGAAACTGAAGCAGAAATTAGGATCCAGTATGAAGGAATGGTTGTGTGTCTTTGTGAAAGTTTTATTTCTGTATAATGTAAAGTTACACTCATTCAATTCTTGTTATTCAATCTTTATATTAGCTTCATATTGTGACCATTTTTTCATAAAATAAGGTATATCTAAGAAGCTTATCTACTTACAAGAGAAGGGGTAGGCTTTCCTGAAGACAAAGTATGTTATTTGCTCACTGTGCTACCCTCAATTATCACCAGCACCCATACCATGACAGTAAAACCAGGACAATGTTCCTATTTCAGCCATTATCTGTTGCATGTGGAAGAGAAGGGCACTACAATCAGGTAAATATGGGTCATGTAAGTTGTTTGAATTAAATCCATAGATACAGTTGACCTATGAAATATTCATGAACTTAAGTTCTTAAAACATTTGGAACACTCATGTCAGTGTTATATGGCAAAACTTTTCAAACTTATGTTTCAGTGGGTAAAAGTTATATCAGAGGAAAGGACATATCATCGGCCCAAAGTCCTCAGTGTAAGTATTTTGAATTCAATCAATAGATACTTTGAGCTATGAAATATTCATCCAGTTGAATGTGTGGACGTTATTGTTCACCATTCAGAACTGTCAGCTTAGGTTCATTATCTACATTCAGATGTCATATAGGATGCTCCTGTGGAGGGGTTGTGAGATGTTAATGAGAGTGAGGTCTTGAATGTGAGTGAAACATCAGATTGAGATTTATTAGTCTTTTTCAGTAATCATTATGAATGTACCAAAATTACTTCTGAATCGTACTTAGTAAAAAGCAAGATCTTTTCACTTACTATGAAGATGATAGACCGGCAAACATGCTACTTTTAAATTTGACGTCACTGAATAGATAATACATGGATTTACATTGTTCATCAGAGGACATATATAGCCTTGTCTGTTACATGCAAAAGGAGGGGCATGATGTTTATATGCTGCAAGTGGCATGTTTGCTATTGAAACTGTCAAGGACTTTTCTTTGTGGCCAAGTGGAATTGTTTGCAGACACTCATCATTCATGTCAGTTGTAAAAGTCATCCTTATGGGGTCAAAGCCTGAAAAAAAGATGTATTGACTGATTAATGCATTGTCTGTCACCCCTGTCCAACAGATCTAGAGTCTGTTGTCTGTCACCCATGTCCCACAGATCTAGAGTCTGTTGTCTGTCACCCCTGTCCCACAGATCTAGAGTCTGTTGTCTGTCACCCCTGTCCAACAGATCTAGAGTCTGTTGTCTGTCACCCCTGTCCCACAGATCTAGAGTCTGTTGTCTGTCACCCCTGTCCAACAGATCTAGAGTCTGTTGTCTGTCACCCCTGTCCAACAGATCTAGAGTCTGTTGTCTGTCACCCATGTCCAACAGATCTAGAGTCTGTTGTCTGTCACCCCTGTCCCACAGATCTAGAGTCTGTTGTCTGTCACCCCTGTCCCACAGATCTAGAGTCTGTTGTCTGTCACCCATGTCCCACAGATCTAGAGTCTGTTGTCTGTCACCCCTGTCCAACAGATCTAGAGTCTGTTGTCTGTCACCCCTGTCCCACAGATCTAGAGTCTGTTGTCTGTCACCCCTGTCCCACAGATCTAGAGTCTGTTGTCTGTCACCCCTGTCCAACAGATCTAGAGTCTGTTGTCTGTCACCTATGTCCCACAGATCTAGAGTCTGTTGTCTGTCACCTATGTCTCTCAGATCTAGAGTCTGTTGTCTGTCACCTATGTCTCTCAGATCTAGAGTCTGTTGTCTGTCACCCATGTCCCACAGATCTAGAGTCTGTTGTCTGTCACCTATGTCCCACAGATCCAGAGTCTGTTGTCTTGTTCCCATGTCCCACAGATCTAGAGTCTGTTGTCTGTCACCTATGTCCAACAGATCTAGAGTCTGTTGTCTGTCACCCATGTCCCACAGATCTAGAGTCTGTTTTCTGTCACCCATGTCCAACAGATCTAGAGTCTGTTGTCTGTCACCCATGTCCAACAGATCTAGAGTCTGTTGTCTGTCACCCCTGTCCAACAGATCTAGAGTCTGTTGTCTGTCACCCCTGTCCCACAGATCTAGAGTCTGTTGTCTGTCACCCCTGTCCAACAGATCTAGAGTTTGTTGTCTGTCACCCCTGTCCAACAGATCTAGAGTCTGTTGTCTGTCACCCCTGTCCAACAGATCTAGAGTCTGTTGTCTGTCACCCCTGTCCAACAGATCTAGAGTCTGTTGTCTGTCACCCCTGTCCCACAGATCTAGAGTCTGTTGTCTGTCACCCCTGTCCCACAGATCTAGAGTCTGTTGTCTGTCACCCCTGTCCAACAGATCTAGAGTCTGTTGTCTGTCACCCCTGTCCCACAGATCTAGAGTCTGTTGTCTGTCACCCCTGTCCCACAGATCTAGAGTCTGTTGTCTGTCACCCCTGTCCAACAGATCTAGAGTCTGTTGTCTGTCACCCCTGTCCCACAGATCTAGAGTCTGTTGTCTGTCACCCCTGTCCCACAGATCTAGAGTCTGTTGTCTGTCATCCCTGTCCCACAGATCTAGAGTCTGTTGTCTGTCACCCATGTCCCACAGATCCAGAGTCTGTTGTCTTGTTCCCATGTCCCACAGATCTAGAGTCTGTTGTCTGTCACCCCTGTCCCACAGATCCAGAGTTTGTTGTCTGTCACCCCTGTCCCACAGATCTAGAGTCTGTTGTCTGTCACCTATGTCCAACAGATCTAGAGTCTGTTGTCTGTCACCCATGTCCCACAGATCCAGAGTCTGTTGTCTTGTTCCCATGTCCAACAGATCTAGAGTCTGTTGTCTGTCACCCCTGTCCCACAGATCCAGAGTTTGTTGTCTGTCACCCCTGTCCAACAGATCTAGAGTCTGTTGTCTGTCACCCCTGTCCCACAGATCTAGAGTTTGTTGTCTGTCACCCATGTCCCACAGATCTAGAGTCTGTTGTCTGTCACCCCTGTCCCACAGATCTAGAGTCTGTTGTCTGTCACCCCTGTCCAACAGATCTAGAGTCTGTTGTCTGTCACCCCTGTCCCACAGATCTAGAGTCTGTTGTCTGTCACCCCTGTCCAACAGATCTAGAGTCTGTTGTCTGTCACCTATGTCCCACAGATCTAGAGTCTGTTGTCTGTCACCTATGTCTCTCAGATCTAGAGTCTGTTGTCTGTCACCTATGTCTCTCAGATCTAGAGTCTGTTGTCTGTCACCTATGTCCCACAGATCTAGAGTCTGTTGTCTGTCACCCCTGTCCCACAGATCTAGAGTCTGTTGTCTGTCACCCCTGTCCCACAGATCTAGAGTCTGTTGTCTGTCACCCCTGTCCAACAGATCTAGAGTCTGTTGTCTGTCACCTATGTCCCACAGATCTAGAGTCTGTTGTCTGTCACCTATGTCTCTCAGATCTAGAGTCTGTTGTCTGTCACCTATGTCTCTCAGATCTAGAGTCTGTTGTCTGTCACCCATGTCCCACAGATCTAGAGTCTGTTGTCTGTCACCTATGTCCCACAGATCCAGAGTCTGTTGTCTTGTTCCCATGTCCCACAGATCTAGAGTCTGTTGTCTGTCACCTATGTCCAACAGATCTAGAGTCTGTTGTCTGTCACCCATGTCCCACAGATCTAGAGTCTGTTTTCTGTCACCCATGTCCAACAGATCTAGAGTCTGTTGTCTGTCACCCCTGTCCCACAGATCTAGAGTCTGTTGTCTGTCACCCCTGTCCCACAGATCTAGAGTCTGTTGTCTGTCACCCCTGTCCAACAGATCTAGAGTCTGTTGTCTGTCACCCCTGTCCAACAGATCTAGAGTCTGTTGTCTGTCACCCCTGTCCCACAGATCTAGAGTCTGTTGTCTGTCACCCCTGTCCCACAGATCTAGAGTCTGTTGTCTGTCACCCCTGTCCAACAGATCTAGAGTCTGTTGTCTGTCACCCCTGTCCCACAGATCTAGAGTCTGTTGTCTGTCACCCCTGTCCCACAGATCCAGAGTTTGTTGTCTGTCACCCCTGTCCCACAGATCTAGAGTCTGTTGTCTGTCACCTATGTCCAACAGATCTAGAGTCTGTTGTCTGTCACCCATGTCCCACAGATCCAGAGTCTGTTGTCTTGTTCCCATGTCCAACAGATCTAGAGTCTGTTGTCTGTCACCCCTGTCCCACAGATCCAGAGTTTGTTGTCTGTCACCCCTGTCCAACAGATCTAGAGTCTGTTGTCTGTCACCCCTGTCCCACAGATCTAGAGTTTGTTGTCTGTCACTCCTGTCCCACAGATCTAGAGTCTGTTGTCTGTCACCCCTGTCCCACAGATCCAGAGTCTGTTGTCTGTCACCCCTGTCCAACAGATCTAGAGTCTGTTGTCTGTCACCCCTGTCCCACAGATCTAGAGTCTGTTGTCTGTCACCTATGTCCCACAGATCTAGAGTCTTGTCTGTCACCTATGTCCCACAGATCTAGAGTCTGTTGTCTGGTTCCAATGTCCCACAGATCTAGTTTCTGTTGTCTGGTTCCCATGTCCCACAGATCTAGAGTCTGTTGTCTGTCACCTATGTCCCACAGATCCAGAGTCTGTTGTCTGGTTCCCATGTCCCACAGATCTAGTTTCTGTTGTCTGGTTCCCATGTCCCACAGATCTAGAGTCTGTTGTCTGTCACCCCTGTCCCACAGATCTAGAGTCTGTTGTCTGTCACCCCTGTCCAACAGATCTAGAGTCTGTTGTCTGTCACCCCTGTCCCACAGATCTAGAGTCTGTTGTCTGTCACCCATGTCCCACAGATCTAGAGTCTGTTGTCTGTCACCCATGTCCCACAGATCCAGAGTCTGTTGTCTGTCACCCCTGTCCCACAGATCTAGTGTCTGTTGTCTGGTTCCCATGTCCCACAGATCTAGAGTCTGTAGTCTGGTTCCCATGTCTCACAGATCTAGTTTCTGTTGTCTGGTTCCCATGTCCCACAGATCTAGAGTCTGTTGTCTGTCACCTATGTCCCACAGATCCAGAGTCTGTTGTCTGGTTCCCATGTCCCACAGATCTAGTTTCTGTTGTCTGGTTCCCATGTCCCAAAGATCTAGAGTCTGTTGTCTGTCACCTATGTCCCACAGATCTAGAGTCTGTTGTCTGTCACCCATGTCCCACAGATCTAGAGTCTGTTGTCTGGTTCCCATGTCCCACAGATCCAGAGTCTGTTGTCTGGTTCCCATGTCCCACAGATCCAGAGTCTGTTGTCTGGTTCCCATGTCCCACAGATCTAGTTTCTGTTGTAGGGTTCCCATGTCCCACAGATCTAGAGTCTGTTGTCTGTCAACTATGTCCCACAGATCCAGAGTCTGTTGTCTGATTCCCATGTCCCACAGATCTAGAGTCTGTTGTCTGGTTCCTATGTCCCACAGATCTAGAGTCTGTTGTCTGGTTCCCATGTCCCACAGATCCAGAGTCTGTTGTCTGGTTCCCATGTCCCACAGATCCAGCGTCTGTTGTTTGGTTCCCATGTCCCACAGATCTAGTTTCTGTTGTAGGGTTCCCATGTCCCACAGATCTAGAGTCTGTTGTCTGGTTCCCATGTCCCACAGATCTAGGGTCTGTTGTCTGGTTCCCATGTCCCACAGATCTAGAGCCTGTTGTCTCTCATCCATGTCCCACAGATCCAGAGTCTGTTGTCTGTCATCCATGTGCCACAGATCTAGAGTCTGTTGTCTGTCATCCATGTCCCTCAGATCTAGAGTCTGTTGTCTGTCATCGATGTCTCTCAGATCTAGAGTCTGTTGTCTGTCACCCGTGTCCCACATATCTAGAGTCTGTTGTCTGTCATCCATGTCCCACAGATCTAGAGTCTGTTGTCTGTCATCCATGTCTCTCAGATCTAGAGTCTGTTGTCTGTCATCCATGTCTCTCAGATCTAGAGTCTGTTGTCTGTCATCCATGTCTCTCAGATCTAGAGTCTGTTGTCTGTCATCCATGTCCCACAGATCTAGAGTCTGTTGTCTGTCATCCATGTCTCTCAGATCTAGAGTCTGTTGTCTGTCATCCATGTCTCTCAGATCTAGAGTCTGTTGTTTCTCATCCATGTCTCTCAGATCCAGAGTCTGTTGTCTCTCATCCATGTCTCTCAGATCTAGAGTCTGTTGTCTCTCATCCATGTCTCTCAGATCCAGAGTCTGTTGTCTGTCACCCATATCCCATGGATCTAGGAAATCTCCAGAAATGTGTTTCTAAGGGACCACAAGGTCCAACAAGCTGAAACTTTGTGTATAAAGTATAGAGGACTAAAACTATATTTGGATTTGTTCGCAGCATTGAACCAAAAAGAAAATAGTTACTTTACCTTACGTGAGCCTTTGTCATGGCTTGGTTGTCAGTCCTTGTCCAGAGTGCCTGTAAATATCTCCCCTGACATGTCAGTATACGACTGGCTGAAGCTGAAACTTGGCAGGATTCCCTCCATTGATCACACCTGGATTTTTCCAGGAGGTTTGATACAATTGTAATATGGTTGTCACAGCAGCCATATTGAAAGACATATTGACACCCATTTCTTGACCGTTTCAAAATGTAATAACATTTGAGTTAATTTGTAGTTTGTAGTTGGGTTCAGTGAATATATCCTGTTTCTTGTGATATTTTTTGTTTCACTTTGTTTGACAGTGCACTTTAAAAGCTCCCTCAAAACTGAAAATGTGTTCAGGGGTTCACTGTAAACTTTGACCTACTGTCAACATTGGTGTACTGTAAACTTGGACCTACTGTCAACATGGGTGTACTGTAAACTTGGACCTACTGTCAACATGGGTGTACTGTAAACTTTGACCTACTGTCAACATTGGTGTACTGTAAACTTGGACCTACTGTCAACATGGGTGTACTGTAAACTTGGACCTACTGTCAACATGGGTGTACTGTAAACTTGGACCTACTGTCAACATGGGTGTACTGTAAACTTGGACCTACTTTCAACATGGGTGTACTGTAAACTTGGACCTACTGTCAACATGGGTGTACTGTAAACTTGGACCTACTGTCAACATGGGTGTACTGTAAACTTGGACCTACTGTCAACATGGGTGTACTGTAAAAATATTTCTACTCTCAACAAGGATCTACTATAAACTTGGTATCATGTATCTATTCAATATATAGGTTGATGTATCGTGAGTCAAGTATCATGTATCTATTCAATATATAGGTTTATGTATCGTGAGTCAAATAAGTATTGATTTGGTATATAGGTTTATGTATTGTGTTTCAAATATCATGTATCCATTCAGTATATAGGTTTATGTATTGTGAGTCAAATATCCTGTATCAATTCAGTATATAGGTTTATGTATCAGGTGTCAAATATCCTGTATCGATTCGGTATATAGGTTTATGTATTGTGAGTCAAGTATCATGTATCGATTCGGTATATAGGTTTTTGTATTGTGAGTCAAGTATCATGTATCGATTCAGTATACAGGTTTATGTATTGTAAATCAAGTATCATGTATCGATTCAGTATACAGGTTTATGTATTGTGAGTCAAATATCATGTATTAATTCAGTATACAGGTTTATGTATCGTGTGTCAAATATCATGTATCGATTAAGTATATTGGTTTATGTATCGTGTGTCAAATATCATGTATTGATTCAGTATATAGGTTTATGTATTGTGTGTCAAGTATCATGTATCGATTCAGTATATTGGTTTATGTATCGTGTGTCAAGTATCATGTATCGATTCAGTATACAGGGTTATGTATTGTAAATCAAGTATCATGTATCGATTCAGTATATAGGTTTATGTATTGTGAGTCAAGTATCATGTATTGATTCAGTATATAGGTTTATGTATTGTGTGTCAAATATCATGTATCAATTCAGTATATAGGTTTATGTATTGTGAGTCAAATATCCTGTATCGATTCAGTATATAGGTTTATGTATCAGGTGTCAAATATCCTGTATCGATTCGGTATATAGGTTTATGTATTGTGAGTCAAGTATCATGTATCAATTCAGTATACAGGTTTATGTATTGTAAATCAAGTATCATGTATCGATTCAGTATACGGGTTTATGTATTGTGAGTCAAATATCATGTATTGATGTTTATGTATTGTAAATCAAGTATCAGGACATGTTGTCAGTAAAGTTGGAGGAACAGAAGTCTGAGCTTGGTCCCTGGAATTGACTTATAGCATGAGTTGACCTTAGTTTTGAATGTTCCAGGTGATTTTACAGCGGTTCGTACAGCAGACAGTTCTGATGGGATGTCCCAACCAGAAACACGTGAACCTCCAACTGCACATCTAGGTTTGTAACTGTGTGTGTAGAAATGCTGTCCATGACCCTACTTAACCTGTTGCCACCTGTCATTGAAACCATATAACTGGCCAATCAGAGGGTAAGAGATAGGTGAGACTCTGCAACTTCAAAAGTCTCTGGTTTCTGGTAGCAGCATGGCAACCTTTTTCATTTTAAACACTGGAGAAATATTCTATATACTCTGATCACTTCAATCCTTGCAGATTTATATTAAAGTGACAGGTAATACCATGCATCAATGAGTATAAAACTACGTGCTTGCAACTGTTTGTGTAGGATTGTGTTGGAGATTGCTGAAAACCTGTGTTCATACTTAAATGTTCTGGGCAGTGTGAATTAAATAGAGTTACCGTCTGTGTTGGTTAATAAAGGATGTTATTTCAAGTTATGTTTAACCATTGTGAAAACACAGGGTCCAGTGTTTGTCACTGACCAAAATATGTCAGTGGTCCAAAGGACTGCATGCATGTTGAATCATCTACTGGCCCTGTTGGATCTCCACGTGACACAATGGACCTGACAAAAAAGATTTTTAAAAGGTATTACTTCTTTGTACAATGAGAAACCAGTGAAGGAGCTAACTCTGTACTACACAGGCTGGCTCAGGTTGCTGGTTTTGCTTAGAATGTAGAGTTCTTAAATTACTTTGTCCCTAAAATAACACTTGACAGCATTTATTTAATTTTACTGATCCTTTATAAAATATGCTAGACTCGGACCAGTGGACCAGTGTTAGTGTTGAACACTGAGGGTAAATTTTGTTTAAAATTGTTACTTTGAAAAAAGTTTTAGAAGACATTTATTTATAATTGCCACAGACAATAATAAGGCTGGAGCATTGTGCGTCTTTCACCCAGACGCCAGCTAGGCTAGGAGGTAAATAATTGTGCACCTGACTTTGAAAGGTTCTATCAACAGCACATATACAGATGTTTCATACATGGCAATGATATAGAATAAGACAACACTATTAAATATGTTTCATATTGCATAACCTATTTTATATCCTGCAATGTAAATATGGTGAATGAAATTGTTTTTTCAAAGATATAATTATGCCTGAAAGATAAATATTTCAACAACTTTTCACATGATGAAGCAGCTCAGGTATTCAGTTTGTTGTTATTGTTTTATCTTATTTCTTTATAATATGTTTTCTGTACTGTGCATTTCACCATCCTATGCAGGTGAAAAACATTGGAGCAAATCGAAAGATAAGAAAAACACTCCCTCAGTACATGTATTTAGACATTTAGATTTGCGGATGGTCGGTCATGCCACTGGTGGAATCACAGTTATATATCAGAAATGTAACATGTCATGGTGTTCTCAGGTCTCAAACACAAGGACTAATTCTTACCATGTCAATCTTGAATTGCAACTATTGTATTTAATCTGTGACTAGACACTGGTTAGCTTGTTATATGATTTAAGACAGTAATGTGGTCTTTGACTGTTGATATACAAAGTTGATCATTGATTGATAGGATGTTCAAAGCTGTACATGAGTGTGTGGTTTTTTAATTGACAGAAAAATGCAAGATGAACATGGATGACATGATATTCTCCAGTTGAAATACATGTCTCTGAAGCCTGATCTGTACAAGAATACAAATATATATTTGAATTGACCTTTTGGGGAAACCAAACTGCACTTTGACCATGCTCTTTTAGTATCTGAAAATGCATTTGGCACTGTAAACATCATGTCCTCAGGAACCACTGAACCAGTGAAGTTGCTTGCACTTCACGTGCTTGTTCCCTCCAATGATGACATCTGAAGTTGATCAAGAGGTTTCAAATTTGTTTTGACAGGCAAAAGCACTTATGGCTATTACCCAGCCATATTTTGGCAAAATGTATTGAAATTTGGTACTTCTGTAGCTAATAGCAGGGCTCAACATATATGGTGCACTTTTGTAGATATTTTAAGTTTATACTCATATTTGATCCTTGCACTCCAACTGTACTGAAAGCTGAAACGTTTTACATTTGCCATTTGCACTTTGACCATGCTCTTAATTTCTTTAAAAAATGCATAATTGGCCTTGTACACTTGTTTCCTTTGTAATTGTGAGTGCTTAACTTTGGCTCGTATATTTCTCTTTAAGATAAAAGTCATATTTGGTTCCATATAGTGTGAGTCCTCAGTTAGTCCTCAGTGTTACTACTTATAGAGGTGAGCTACAGTGCTGTGACTTTATTTTTATATTGATCTGTGGGCTTCTCAAATAGATATATTGGAGAAAAGTCGCCATTTATGTGCTCTTACATCTATCATTTTTTATGTCAGACATCTGAACGAATGTCGATTGTTAGGGGCATGGTCCACTCTGGCCACACTAGGAACCAGTCGTTTTGACATCAACTTGTGACTCAAGATAATTATCTTAATGTAGTTGTATTCAGATACAGAGGTTGTGTACTTGCACCAAACCATTAGCATGGTATGCATTAAAGATTGATTTTGGTATATGTTTTTGGATGCACCCCCAAAGTGCAAAAGATAGTTATATTGTTTTCTTGTAATAAATTACCAACAATTCCCATTATAAAACAAGTCACTGGCCCTGAATATTTGAAATCATGATAATTTAGAGCATTATTCACTCAGTTATTACAAATTGTAAGAACCTTCATCAATACAGTCACCTGGTATAGTCCAGGCAGATGTCCTGGTCACTGTCAAGGTGAAAGTTTAGACTTGAATCAGATATGGATGTTACATGTTTGACTACATATATTTGCAAATTCTCTGGCATATTTCACTATATATTATTGATTATACATATAAACTCCTGGTTGGAGTTACCATTTTGAAATATTTTCATTGACGTCTCTCAAAGATCACCAGAGGTCATGTAGGTCAAGGTGAATGACAGAGTTATCTTTCTTTTAGCTGAAAACGATCATGCTGATGAAGGTCAGACTGAGAGAGGTCGTTCAGTTGAAGGTCAACCTGAGAGAGGCCAATCAGATGACAGTCAACCAATTATTCCTGAGCAAGGTAAACAGTTTGAATTAGCAGTAATGATTAAATTTGGATGCATTAAAGTTTGAAGCTGGTTGTTGGGGTAGCTGGGATATAGCAATCAGCATGTCTGTCCGTCTGACCTCCTCCTCTTTTCTGTAGCCAGATCAGAACTCCAAAACTGTTGAATATTTCTTGATGAGACTTGCTATACAGATCAGCCTAGTGGTGAAGTTGTGCCTTTTGATATTTGTGCCGAAGGGATATTGAAAAATACTGAACATTATATTTTCTTCACTGAACTGAAGGTATCCAGGAGCAAAGAACCAAAGTGGGGTATAAGTAGCCAAATTCCATTTCGGATTGCACCAGACCAGGGGGATATGTCATCTCCTGATGACTCTTGTTCATAACAGTGGAGACAGATAGAGCCAGACTCTTAGGTCTTTTCTGCATTGTCGCAGGCATATCTGTTCCTTTACCCGCTGATGTGGAATTGTCCTCAAACTCTGTTGTGGTGTTACGGTCCTCTTTAGTGTAGTGATTGGTATAACGTGGTCTCCTGTTAGAGACATCATAAACTCAATAAAAACAGAGTTTAGGACTGTGTATGGACAATGTGTGTAAGGGCATAGTGCAAGGGAGGTAACTTGTGGTCAGGTTACCATAGATACATTTCCCCTTTGTGAGGATTGCTTTTATAACTTAAATGGAAATACTAAATACTATAATTGCAACATCCTGTTTACATTACAAGGTCATTATCATAATACATCACACACACTAGATATAAATTCTGTGGGAGATTCCCTCTTCTGTGATATCATCTACTGTCAATTTAGGCAAAGCAAAATTACTGAAATTGAAATTAAGTACTTCGCAAATCTTGCCATTTTTCTTTTGTACGTTCCGCCATATTGAATAGTGTTGACCAAATCACGTTTCACATATGCCGGTTATAAGACACCTATCAGATAACATACATTTCAAACTCGATACATGCACATCACTGAATTCCTCATACACTTTAGAATCAAATGACAAATGCTCTTTGTCAACAATGCAAATTACCTAGATGAAATCAAGCGAAATAAATTATGTGTGGAAACGAACACTGTGCTCGTTCTTGTTGTAATGTAAACAAAGCAAAATTCAGATTTTACACTGTGTAGCATTTTCTCCTATTTGGGAGATCCATTCGTCTAATTGTTGCACACATTGGCTCCCGAGTTTGAGACTATTCGTGGGAAGAGTATCGAAGCAAGAATTATGGAATTACAAATATATACATTACAATGATCTGGTAAATTCAACTGAAATCGTGAAAGTTTCCGTCCTGTGTGGTGCCATGACTGACGCAAAATCACACACAACGATGACGGCAGTTATCTGCATTTCTGATTAGATTCTAATTCCCTTGGTTGCATTGGAAAACATAAAACAGTACGCCGATTGTCTGTTTGTTTCTGATTACTTACATGACACATTAATGTACGATCCCTCAATCAACGAAAATCCTCCTCTGAAAATCTTGGGTACTGTCGTCAGTGAACACGCCATTTTGTAAAAGTCGGTCACCGGTAGTGATGTTATAAGAAAGTAAACATTGTTGTACATATTTGGTAATTTCTTTGAGGTAAAAATTATGAACCTCTCATCCAGCGGGTTCTTTGGTCTTATCTAGTTTAGGGTCACATAATTTATGAGTACTGAGCAGTACATCGGATGTGGTCACTCATGACCATCGTGTTCTGTATTAATGCGACACTGCAATCATTTAGAATAGACAAAATGCATCGATATGCTGCTATAAAGGTGCAATTTTAGGGTGTGTAAGAAACAGATTACTGCCTTGCTTGTGAAAAATGTTTCGAAACAACTCGTAAGATAAATGGTATCCGACAACACTCGTGTAGTAATCTCTATATATCACATTATAAATATACATGATATAATGATGAATTGCTCCTGGCTGTTGCATCCCCCAACACGGTCTCAGGCTGTGTTTACTGATGTGGGAACAAGCAGCCGGGTGGCAAATCTTATCCTCAACAGTTACTTGGATTATATCAAGAACTGGATGACTTGAGACTTTCTCAAACTAAACTGTGATCAGACACAATCACAGATAGCTTGTTTGTTTGTTGTTTAATGCTGGACTCAGAGCAATATTCCAGCTATATGATGGTGGTCTGTATATAATCGAGTCTGGATGGGACGATCCAGTGATTGACATCATGAACCATGATCTACGCAATTGGGATACAATGACATGCATCGGTGAAGTTAGTGAGCCTGACCACCCAATCCTGTTGGTTGCCTAAACAAGTATGGGTTGCTGAACACTTCCAACCAGGATCTTCAAGTAGGCTGAACTACTGATGATCTGTTTCAAGACAACCAGAAGCATGCTGATACACCCTCTTGGTTAGGGGTTGCATTATCAAGCCCAGCAATAAATGAGGCTTGTAATCTGGGGATAGCATTTGACTCCCACATCACCCTCACCATCACTATAGATGTTTGTCATTGTAATAAGTTTGATGCTTCATACAATTATTTCTTCAGGTAAGCCACAGAGCATTGTGGCCCAAACCCATGCAAGCCCATGTTGATGAGGGTAATCAGTTGATATTATATTATCATGTGATTATTGCCATTATTTTAATGACAGAAAAGAGTGAGTTAGAAAGACCCAGGTGTACAATACCAACAGGTGTTGATATTAGTGACTATAGCTTTAAGGTCAAGTTATTGCAGGAGGGATGATTGTGAATGGAATATTTGCTTTGTGTTGGCAATGTCATGAAAATGACCTCACTTATGTTATGTTTCCCATGTTTTCTCACTGAGGTACCTTGAGATCCCTTACACGTTGTATATTCCTCCTTTCAGAGTCCTCATCAGACAGAAGTAGACAAGAACTAGCAATAGGTACATCTACAGGAGAGTCAGTGTTGAAAGCTGCTGAAATGACAGGTAATTATAAACAGTTGAGTTACTGACGCCTGAAGGGGCCAACATTAGTTTCAAACTGTGAATATTAATATAAGAAGTATGCAGCCCATGTAAATGGGGATGCTTTGAGATTTATGTCAAACAATGAGACTTCGATCAGCCATGTCAAGGGTCAAGGTAATCATAAATCATAGCCTGTAAAATGTTTGTTTACTGCCAAACTCGAGAAGCCTTACTCCAGGTAACTGAACTCCATCCTTAAGTAAGTGCAGCATTCTTATTGTGATAGCCAGAGAAAAGTGACTTTCACACTGCACATGACATACTTTAAAAAAGGAAAGGGATGTTATAAGAAGTCTGTACCAATCACTTTTATTGTCTACTACAGAATTCAACTTTAACCTGAGTCCAAAGCCAGAGTCAAGTAAACTTCTGTTTGAGTAAGCTCAGCTCGTAATATCTACAACATCCAGAGAAAAGGATGCTTTCAGCCAAGTTAGGCCTAGTAGACTCGAACATTTTGGCACAGATTGCTTCTAGCCTGAACTCATCTTCCCGAGGCAAGGGAGTTAACTGACTATACAATACCCGGGGTATGAGTTGTACCAGGATCACTGAGTGTACATGGGATTTAGTGCAATCCACTTTAGGTTTTATAAAGGTATAAGGGATTTATTCTGCCTCTCAGAAATCCGTGTGCAGCCTGACTCGCTCGTAGCAGGTAATAAGGCATTTATTCCCCCGCTGAGAAATTTATTACCCTCCAAGGCAGGATACACAGTATTATATCAACATCACATGGACCAATCGGATCTCATCTTTCTGACATGGAGGTATGATAAGCCCAGTTTCAACCCTTGCTGCACTAGGGTGGAATTATGGAGTTATATTTTGGCTGGCAAACAAGTCTATGCATAGTCAAATCAAAATCGACATCCGGTTCATAAACTGACGTGCAGATTTCGGTTGATTGCAGGATTTTCAATCATGTTTGCTGACAACTTAGCATCAACAGATATTTTCCAAATCTTGTCATGTTTTAATTTAATGTGCTCACATGATTTGATGCATGCGAAGTAAGACCTGTTTTAGTACAATATAGATCTTTATTATAGATCAGATTGTCTTCACTGGGTGCCGCCATTTTGTTTGAAGCAAATGCAAGTGAAATGAGAGGTGAAAACTGATTGGTCAGTAGAAGGGGCATAGCTTGTAACAGCCACTGATGGTGCTATGATCAAGCCCATAAATTCCAGCCTAGTTCGGCAAGGGTGGAAACAGGACATCTAAAGTCAGTTAACTCCCTTTCCTAGGGAAGATGGCCCGAACTCTTCTAATAGCAACCTCTGAAATAGTTCTTGATGTTAGTTTATGGGCTGTTGTGAGCTGAGCTGAGGACTAGTGGCTTATGTCACAAACTGATAATATGGAAAGGGCATATTCATTTTTATAAAGGTAGCTTGTGGCATTGGATTTCCGATTTAGATTCGTACTGCAGTTGGCACATGTTTTCTCAACCCAGAATTGATGTTTTTAGATTTGAGTGATGTCAACATCAAGTAACCTCTTTTGTCGAAAACCACTGGGCACATCTATATCAGTAGTGCTTTCAGATCTAGAACGTACCCCTGTTCACCCAAAGGCAGGAGTTTTGTTTGAAAAGTAGCATTTTTGCGTATGAAAAACAGACTTTATGATAAAATTTTCTTCTCCAAAATTACTGGTCATTTTGATTGATATTTCTGGATGAAGTTTGTGAGATCTTTGTCAACAAAACAGTTATGTTTTCAAGTTCCAAAATTGCTGCCATGGGCCATGGTAACTATCTGAAGTAACGTGTCTTTTTTGGCAATCTTTTGTTAATTAGGTTACTTTCTCCATGTTGTAAAATGACATATAGGATTCACAAAATCGTGTTGTGTCCTGCATTAACAGCACTGTATGATCCTTATGGTTAGGTATCTCACTTCGTTAAGCGCATGACAGAAATCTTGTGTTATCAGAGGTATAAATACATGGTGTTTTTTTTATAAAACTTCACCTCAAACAGAACAGTGGCAAAATCATGTGATCCAATATATGACACTAGAGATACATATTTTGAATTGGAGGTACCTGTTTGTATAAACATTTTCCATTGGTTACATCGTTATATAAAAAAACTACCCATTGTTTACATATTTGTGTACTAAGAGTAAAAATGTTCAATATTTGCAGTTTCACAGAACCTGATGAAGGAAAAATTGAAAGAATTATCTGATGCTAAGTCTCAACCTAGAGGTAAGATTGACAATATTTTGGGCTTGTTTGATTTTTGTCATTGCCTGCCTGTCTGATATCATTTCACCCCTTCCGTTAGAAAGTAACTGGACCAAAGAAGCTAAGCTTCACATTCTTGTTCCTTTGGATGATGACTGAATTTGTTCAAGAGGTTCAAATCCAATTTTAAAATGATAACCATGGCAGCAATATTGAAACAGTGATAAAAAGCCATTTTTGAACCACCAAATGCAATGAAATTTGGTGTATGTGTAGTTTTATAGTGGATAATAGCATATATGTTTCATTTGTGTAATATTGTGTATTTTCAACTTGATACATCAAATGGTATTTTAGCTTTTGTTAGAAGTATGTTAAAAATCAAAGTTCACAAAAAAATATGATTTTTTCCCCTCAAGAACGACAAGCCTTAGGAAGCACAAACAATGCATGGATGTGTATTGCTATGAGCAGATTCAAGTTTGTTCAAGGTATCATGATGAGCATTCAACTTAACTGTCCTTGAAAATGTTGCAAAAATATTCTTTGCTTCCTTTGCTCAGAATGTATTGCACCAATTCTACTATTATGTTAACGTAGACAATGTTGCAAATCTTTTTTCATCAATTATCATGAGCAAACATGTTGGTCACCATTATAAGGTTGAAGCTTCATCAAATCAACAAATAAATATTGTGTTAGTTTTTCAAAGTATAAAGAAAAGTATATTAAGATTAAATATTAAGATAAATAATAAGTAAATATAGTGCACAAAATGTCCACTGTCCTGTCTGCTGTTCTTGATATTGAGAAGACAACCTTTCCATTTTGAATGTGCATCAACTACCACCCTTCAATTGTGTAATCATTGACACAATTGCTGAAGCTGAATATCTCCACCTTGCATAGGTCATGTCTCAAACTGACTGATATGAAACAAATCCACTGCATCAATCTCAGTTGATTTTTATCCAATCTCAGTGTTGTAAGTAAATCAGCATTGCCGTTAGTTGCTGATGATCTGTCACAAAGGTAAACTTTCTCCATTAAACATACTGGTTGAAATTATACACACCATACCAGTCCAAAGTCTTCCTCGACTACATGGGCATAACTGCACTCCAACTTCCTTAGAGCCTGTGAAGCAAATGCATTACGTTTCTTGGTCCCATCTGACATCACTTGCCCCTATCTCATAGAGTGATGCGACCATTGCAACTCTAAGTGTTACAGTGTTCCCTCGTTATTGCGCCCTTCAATATAGCGCTAACTCGGTTATAGCTCTCAGTAAAGCATTTCTCCGAAAATTTACTAACATTTTTTGATAAACTCAAGTTTTCAAATGACACAATGTTTTCCCCCATCTCAGAAAACATTATCAGCTGATCACCAAACACCAGAAATACCAGTCAACAAATCGGAATTGAAGTACGCAATTTAATCCTATTATTATCATATCTGGTAATAAAAAAATTGTTCATTGTTTATCTGGACTAATGTTTGCAATATATTTTTTATACCCCCGACAAAATGTCTGGGGTATATAGTTATACCAAGGTTCCGTCCGTCCGTCTGTCCGCCTGTCCATCTGAAAACTTTGTCAGCAAGATTTCTCTTAAACTATTCAGTGGATTCATCTCAAACTTAGTACATATAATCTGTGTCATATGAAGGGGTGCAGTCAAAAGAAAAAAATTGTTTTTATTAATTTTCCATGTTTTTATGAATTTTTCAAACCCTAACGTCGTCTGAAATCTTTGTCCCCGTGATTTCTCTTAAACTATTCGGTGGATTAATCTCTAACTTAGAACATATAATCTGTGTCATATGGAGGGATGCAGTCAAAAGAAAAAAATTGTTTTGATTAATTTTCCATTTTTTTAATGAATTTTTCAAACCCTAACGTCTGTCCGAAATCTTTGTCCGCGCGATTTCTCTTAAACTATTCGGTGGATTCATCTCAAACTTAGTACATATAATCTCTGTCATAATGATGGGTGCAGTCAAAAGAAAAAAATTGTTTTTATTAATTTGCCATTTTTTTAATGAATTTTTCAAACCCTAACCCTATCCTCGCTATTAAATTTGAAACTACTGACACAATAGGCGGGTTGGGGGTATAAGTGAGCCACGCTCACTTTTTTTTCTTGTTTAATTATATTCCAAATTTCTTTCAAAAATTATAATAATGTTTACAATAATTTCGGCGAAATCGTATGCGAAGTGATCAGTAGATCTCACAACTCACTGTTGTCAACAGCAACCGTGGTCAGATTACCGGTATTGACGCCTTGAAACAACTTTAGTTGCAAGAGAATGGATACACATATCATAAATGCCGTACCACGACTCGCTAAAAGTCATATTTGAGCCATTTTGACTATTAAATGTCAACATAACATTTTTGCAATCGAAATACATGTAGCGCGGGAAGTCCCTACGGTGACTGGTCAAAATCGTACCATAAGTCAAACAATATCCTGCATACAATCTGTACCAAAGTGCTATGCTTATGGTTCTTATAATTTTAATTAAATATGGTGGAAGCTTCAACTAAAATAACACGATATTGGAATATATCATTCCTGATAAAATAATTTTAGATACAATTTCTTCCGACAACCCTGCATCAAAAAATTCTTTGAAGATGTATCATTGGGTACGTTTTACTGAATCACTGGTTGCTTTTTCCGGCTTAGTTTACGAGAAAATACACACGGTAATCTTAATCTCTGCACATAAAACAATGCCTTTGAGAGCAGGAAATACATTTTAAATGGAAAATCATCATGTCTAGTGATGTTTTATATCAAATTTCATACTTTTATTGACCAAGTTTGTTATACCTGTTTATTCACCTGAATTTGCTGAAGGGATACGATGTGTTTTTTTTTTTAAAGTGCGTAAAGCATGTATATTGTTTTGTTGATCATCTATCACTTTCGACTCACAAGTTCTTTGACTTGCTGAAAACACTAACACAATCACTGTCAATTACATGACCACAATACTGAATCTTGTCCTTGACAAATGCACGTTTCTCAACATTCTTAACTAGATCTCTCTCTCCCAGTCGCTGCAACACAATGTCTAATCTAGCAAGCTTTCAGATTCACTTCTATGACTGATGATGATGATATCTAATATGATATCTGTCCCTGGATTCTCTGTAAAACCTGCTCCACTGTTCGCTGATATATAGCAGGGGCCGTTTGGATGACTGATGATGATGTTATCTAATATGATATCTGTCCCTGGATTCTCTGTAAAACCTGCTCCACTGTTTGCTGATATATAGCAGGGGCCGTTTGGATGACTGATGATGATGTTATCTAATATGATATCTGTCCCTGGATTCTCTGTAAAACCTGCTCTACTGTTCGCTGATATATAGCAGGGGCCGTTTGGATGACTGATGCCAGTTATATCAGTTAAGTCCTTTCGGTGGGTTAATGGTGTGGAACTTCTATTTGTCAAAACACCTGTCAGATGTCTACCTTTGTCAAATACTGTCCTCCAGATAGTTTCATTAAGACATCTTCCACCTTGGGCATTGGCTGTGTCTCACCTGGAGTACTGGGTTTACAGTCATCTTGAAGTCCTCACAAGTACAAATTTTCAATTTGTTCCAATTCCACACCTACTTTCTTTATGGAGGGACCATGGAATATCCCTCGGTTTATATAATGTGTGTGTGCAATCTTCGGAAAAATTTGTCTTGCTTTAATAATATCTTTGAGCTTTTCAAAGCCTTCTCTGAATACTGAGCTGTATCTCTGTGATAGTTCTTCTACTTCTGGTCCTTTTTCAGTATTGCTGGGACTGGTAACTCGGGTACCTGGGATGGGTTGGTACTGAGTAGGACCCGGGTACCCACAGGACTACCCAGACCCTTGCTTAGTCACGTGACATATTGTTTAATGACAAAACTTATCTAGAACTCTATGGTTACACTACAAGTCACTAATGTTCGCATTTCATTCTGATTATGCACCCATTCCTTCTGATTTTTCATATGGATGAATAAAGAGAGAGCTTAATTCAGCTTCAGTGTATTCAGATTGTTTAATACATGTTACTCAATACGTTTTGCCAGGGCTATGCTAAGAAATGTTCCCATTCGGATATTTGGAGACATCTCCTGAGACCGACAGTGGGTACCCGGATAGGGTCGGGTAATAGGGGGTTGGGTACCCGGGTAGTAAATTTGGACTTGTCCCAGCCCTATTTTCCAGGCATGGTGTTCTGTTGTGATTTTATCGAGTGGATTTCGGCCAGTGCAAGACCAAGCCCATTTATCCACAGACTACCCAAAAATGCCTCATTGCCCTTTCCTTTTGGGACAAGGTAGAAATTCAGACATCCCTCCCGAGCTTCAGCTTATATTTACATCTATGTATTCAAGTGGTACTAGTGGTTCTTCTGTGTATATCCTCACATTACAGGGGAGGTTGCACATTAGAAAACAGACTGGTCCATCTTGTGTTGCATCACTAAACATGCAGAACCTGTATCCAGGTCCACTGTTCCCCCCTGAACGTCCGGGTAACCAAATGGTTTCTCAGTTCTCTGGGTGTGCATGTACCCTGTGTCAAAGTCAGTGTCTTCATTCTCATATTGCCAACCACTTGCCTCAACATTACCAGGAAAGTCTTGGCATACTCAAAGCAATGCAGGCGTGGTCTACTTGCTGTTGTACACTCATTCTACTCTATCTAAACTGATCTGGACTGTGACCTTCCCTTCAATATCAATAGCATTTACTCCCAGGTTGTGGAATGGCTTCTTTGACTTGGAGGCAATTTACATTACAGAGAATGTCTTCTGAATTTCACTGGTATCTCATGATGCCAATTCTTCCAACTCCTCGTCTCAACTGGTTCCTCAAATGTCACTCATTTACCCTCAGAAGTTTAAGTTGTGTACTCTTTCATTTCAGTCCACAGACAAACTGGTCTCAAAGCACAGTTTATATGATTTTGCCCCAAAACACAATGCACTGATAATTTTTGTAGTGTATT